AAAAAAGAAGAAAGAAAAAAGGCAAAAGAAAAAAGAAAAGAAAAAAGAAAATGAAAAAGAAAAAATGACACACATACAAGAAATTGAGAGCAGTGATGATGCCTCAATTTGTTGGTTTTCCTCAGGCTTTAAGAAAGAGTAAGACATTAAACCATTTTATAGTTAAGAAAAGCCTTCTGGGCAGAACATTACTTGTGATTTGTTGTCTGTGGCTTACTTATTTTTTGTTATTAGTCTCACAATGCCCTGAGTGAAAAGGGCAGGTTGCTGCTTTAATTTGCCTACAAGGGTTGGGTGATGGGTTTTTTTAGAAAGCAGGGGCTCTGCATTCGGTGCAGGCACATAGTGTTGCAATTTGGGAGGTATTTGCCTCCTGCAGGAAAAGAGCAGCTCCTGCTCACCTTAGAAAGGGGTAATTTAGGAACCCAAACAAAGCTGAGCTTTCTGAGCCAGGCATGTCCCATCTGGCACAGCATTCCCTGGCACAGCAGTGAGTGCAAGGGGCTCATTTAAAATGTTCCTCCCTGGATCAATATTTCCCGGTATTTAGGCAGTGACCTGGTTTGGGCTTCATTAGAAATCACAGTGGGGTACCTCCACCCCAAGGCTTACACAGAAAACTGAGTTTTCCTGCCCTCAAGAAATGGAGCTTTGCATTGCTGGGCATCATAACACAAAGGTCTTTTTCGCTGGTTTTAATGCTACTGACCAGCCAAAATTCACAGGGGCATTTTAACCATGAGTCCTAACCACTGGAACGATGCCTGGAACATAATGAACATTAAAAAGTTACCTATGGCAGGCACGAACATTGCAAAAAAACCTAAACCACTTTAGAAATCCAGATTTTCGGGCTTGCACTTACTTTTAGATTTCATTTTCTTAATGTCTGTAAGGTTATTGCATTAAAACCCTAAGTGGCTTATTCACTAAGTATAACATTGTTTTCTGCTTCCTCTGTTACGTGATAGTTTATTTGTTTCCCCAAATCTGAACAGAAAAATCAAACTAATTTCACTTTGAGCTTTGATTTGTTTATGCTGGACCATATGAGATTAAGCAAGTACTGGGAAGAGTTTTTCTAGCAACATCCTCATGCCATACTTAGTGAAATTTAGTTAAAAGCAATTTTTTCTAAGAGTCCATTCAAAGATGGTGCCCCTTAGCTGTTGAGGTGGTGGAAAAAACTGCAATTTAGATGTCACCCAAAAGACAGATCTTCACTCATTAAGAAGTCCATTAGCACACCTGGGGAAAAGTAGGGACATTTTCTATTCTCTCTGAAAACAAGGGAAGGGCTTCAAAGCTGGGCAATGAATATATTATTCACCTTTGAAAAAGCCATTCGAGGGGATCAAAGAGCCAGCAGCAAAATTGGTAACAGCCTTTTTGAAAATTAATCAAAACTCAAACAAGTGGCTGAATTCACTGACAGGATGAGAAGGTTTCAGGAACCTGAAGGCTCTTTCCAGTGATGCCATGGAATCCCAAAACCTCACAAACAGGTTTTGTGCCAAGTACATAAATCACTGAGAATATTCATTGCTGTTCTTTCTGCCTCTGTCTACAGCTTGCATTCATGTCTCAGATCTCATCTCAGACATGCTCTGAAATCATCTCTGTGCTCCCAGTTCTCCCTGTCTGTGCTTCCTCTGTTCAGTTTTTGTGATTTGACTGTGATGCCTGAATATCTCAGCTCTCCCTCACACAAATATTTCTGCCATTCATGTCCCACACTGACTCCCACCTTGGAGGATTAGAACACAGAAAAGCAGGGCAAAGACAAAAAGCACCCCCTGCCCATTTTCAAGTGTGGAATTCAGTGTTCAGTCAGTCCTGAGAGTTGGCCACTGATGCCACCTAAGAGCAGAGAATCAGGACATGCTCTGAAATGCATGATTTTTTTAAGTGAAATTCTGATGGGCAGGAAAGGCTCATAGGATGGAGAAGGCTCGTGAAAAAAAAATTGAAGGGAAGTTGAATAACTGACAAAGGCAGAGAAAACTTCAGCCTTTTTCATAAACTTCTCAGTCTCTCGAATATATTCCAGCAAAATCTTCCCCAAGGCCTGTCTCCTCCCATCTGTTCCACTCCCTTCTCAAAAAGCCAAGTGCTAATTAAAAAGCCTTGAGATGGGAAGCACAGGTCACTGAAGGCAATTTTCACCTGTGTTTTGAAGGGATCTGGGACCAACCTGGAGCTCCACGAGCTCTTGTCCATTTGCCAGCTACATTTGCAGTCACTCAGTAAAAATCTTCCTATCCAACCCCTGCCCTGCAAGTAATTCTGGGATCTTTATAGTGTAATGCATGTAGCGTTGTGTTCTGTCAGAAAACTACGAGAAATACAAAAAAAATGAAGATTTCTTATGCAATCAAAAAGCCAACTCAAATTTTACAAGCTCAGTTGCGTCTGTAAAAATAGCTGAGCAACCCTGCAGGTTGTTTCAGCCACACCCAAGCCGTGTTTGCTACTCTTGACTCTGAAAAGCTCGAGGTCACCACAGCAGGGTCATGACTCCACCACCAGCCATTCGTTCAGCTCTCACAAAAAGTCCTGCCCTCAGCTCCAAGCTCTGACACAACCCCCATCCCAGAAGCTTTCAACCCCAAAGCTAAAGACTTATTTCCAATCTTTCCCTTCAGCCAGTTAAATAGATTATTTCAGGAGTCTTTTTGGCTGAAAATGACTACCTAGAGGATATTTTCTGTGTTTGTTTTCTCCCTCTAACTCGATTACCTGTGGAACAAGAGATGCTGAGGCACTGATTGCCTCACAGTCATTTAGAGGAATATCTTTTCAAGATTGTTTTTAAGACACTGGGGTAATGCTTGAACACTCCTCTGTGTATTGGGCTGTATTTATCTGACTGTATTTAACTGCATAACCTTATGCAGAACAGCACTTGCTATACATACATATCCATGTCATTACATTTATTCACTCATAGGTATTCTTTATGAGACAACACAGCCATACTAATTTGTTTTGTTTATAAACCCTATGCAATTAGTATTACCTTGAGAAAAAAATGAATTTATTAACTCCATGCTAATTTTGGTAGAGCATTTAATTATCACTAATGCTTGAAGAATAACAGAATGATAACTGAGGATCCTCATTTTCTGCTATTGCAAGTATTTCTGTAAATTAAAGAAAAATATCTCCCTTTCTGTGCCGTATTTGCCTACAGGTGGGATTCATGGAATCTAATCCCAAAGAGGTGAAACCTGGAAGTCAAAGTCCATCAGTAAATTCATTGAAATGATCTGTATTTTTGGAGTGTTTCCGTCTCTTCCCAGTAGTACTGAAAGAGGCTCAATGAGCAGCTTTAGACAAGACTACTAACTTTACATAGATAATTTTAGATGATTAATCTAAACTCCCCCATCAAGCCTCCCTTAATGAGCAGTGAGGGCAGACAAGCAGTTCCAGGGAAGGATTGCTCCTGCTCCTTTCAGCACAGAGTGGTTCCCTGTACAGGATTGTGTCTCACTCCATTAACTCCCTCCAGGCTAAACAGGCTGATTCTTCCACACATCCAGTCCTTCATGGAGGGGAATTTGAGGTCTGCAGGGACCAGGTCAGCAAGATCAGCCTGAATATCTCTCCAGCACAAATTAGCCAATATTAACCATAACAGAAATTTAGACACCCAGCTTTGTTTTCCTGGCAGCTCAGCACCTTGCCATGGATTTGGATCCAAATGTCCATTAGCACAAGAAACTTTTTGCTAAAGCAAATGTAAAGCTCAGTGATAACTCCTTCTATGTTTCCATTCTCACCTCCATTCATTAAATCAGACTGAACTCCTCCCCCAGCAATGGGTGTTTGAAGAACAAAGCAGTTCAGCACAGCAGGGAGAAAGCTGAAACCAGTTTTTTCTGTTCCTCATCCACTGTTTCCTGAGACTCTGATCTCTTTTAAGACAGGAAAAGTCATTTTTATACATTTCAGCCCCCACTGCTCTCTGTTCCTTGTCACTTAGGAGCAAATGGTAATTTTTAGTGTCAAGGACTCCATTCTGCAAGGCACAAAGTATATCCTGAGCACACAGCTCCCCGTGGAGCTGATGGGAGGTAACAGAACCTGGTTTCACAGAGGAAGTTTTCAGGATTAACCTTCTGGTCTGATTTTCATATGTAAATCACGAATTATTTGCAGAATCCACACAAGAATTATTCCTCTGCTCTGACATGACCCTTTGGAATACAAAAGAACTGTTTACTCAACACATCCTCCGAGTCTCTGGCCTTCCCTGACTGTCTAACTCGGGGTGCAAAGCTTTCCATCAGACCTATTTTGAGACACTGATATTCAGAGCCCTGACTCTTACCAGATATGTCATTGGTGTTCATACATGAGCAACAGCCTGAGCAGAGCATGCAGTTTATAGAATTTCTTTTATTATGGGCACAGTCTGCTGCAGTAATGCTGCCCCATTAAAATGATGTATGGCAGCCCACAGATGGGCATGATACATCACTCCAGATTAGCTCCACTCTGCTGACAGCTGCAAGAAGAAGTTGTGCCTCTATTAGGTGTAAAAAGGCCAGTCCAGATGCCAAAGTCACTCTGCCTGTGGCATTCTAACACTTTAGGCTGACTAGTTTTCCCTGAAAAAGAGTATTACGCAGGATAATAACTATACTGGCAAGGCTTACATAGCAAGGACCTGTAACTTGTCCCTTGTGCATAAATCTGTGTAAATACAGAGGAAACAACAAGATCCAGAGGATGTGCAGGAGTGAAAATTTACATCCCATCCTTCACCTTTTAAAGCTGAAAGGTCAAGACCAGTCTGTAACCATGTAGGCTCTCACAATTAGCAGAAGGCCCTAGAGAAGCATTCCCTCCATCTGCCTTTCTCAGGATGGGATGAAACACCTCCCTGTGAGGTGACTGTCTCCCTCCTGACTCCAGCAGGAGCCTGAATCCCAGCCCACACCAAACATGGTGTGGACTAAAGTTGGAATTATCAAGTCCCTGCTAATCACACCCATAGGAAGGTTTCCAAACACTCCCCTGAGGCTGAGGATTGAGGGGAAAGCGGAGATGTGACTGTACTTGTACTTACACCAGTTGTTCTTACCCAGCCCAGGCAATGCCAGGGGTAGAGCATGGAGATCAGGGAGGGATGGATGTGCCTGGAGTGTGTTCCTGTGCTCACACACCTTCCCTGATGTCCAGTGTTACCATCTCACCTGCTGCCTTCAGTTCTCAGCACACGAGACAGTTCATGCTCCTGCCTGATGATATCAGAACCAGATGCCTTCAGCAGTGAAATCATCTCTGCCCCCTCTGAGATGCAAATGTCCCAAATCCAGCAGGAGGAACTATTCCTTTTCAGTTGTCCTCCTCCTTCTGCAAAGTTGCCTTTCTCAGGACAACTGGGACAGCAAGCTGTCCCCTTCTGTATGGAAATGAAAAGACATTTATGGATGGCATTTTGAGGCTGGACAAATTTAATGGAAGGAGTTGGGTCAAACCTCTAACTCAGGGATATTTTTTTTTCTTTCCTCCCCTCTTACACCCGTGTCTGGTTTTAAATTTTATTTTATATTTTAAATCCTTTCCTTATTTTTCTTTCTCTCTACCTGCTCCCTGCCAGGAGAAAAGTTCCCCTGCCTCTGCACACTTCCCTCCCCAGCCCTCCTGGATGCTGTGGGGCGGCTTCAGAGCCATCCAGCTGTGGGCAGCAGTGGCAGGAGCCAGATGTGCGGTCCCCCCTCCCTCGGAGCATCTCCCGCGGGCAGTCAGTCAGTCAGTCAGTCAGTCCAGTCAGTCACTCACTCACTCACTCACTCACATCACTCACTCACTCACTCTCACTCACTCACTCACTCTGTCGTCACTCACCCAGCGGCAGCAGCGGGGGCATCCAGACAAACTTCGGCATCCTCGGGCAGCCCGCCGCCGGGTCCTCCCGCTCCTCGCTCTGCTCTCTGATGCTGCCAAAATCCGAGGCTCAGCCGCGCCCACCCACCCTGCCCAAGGCCCGCCCCGAGAGCCCCCGCACCTCCCCGCAGCCCCCGCTCCCTCCTGGGGGAGCCCGACATCCCCCGCAGGAGCGGGCTGGAGATTCTCCAGCATCCCCTTGGGATATTGGGATACTGGACTCACCTCCACGCACCTGCCCTCTGGCCACCAAACCGTGGGGAGCTGGAACGTCGACGGGTCTTTTCGGGTGTATTTGGAAGCAGAAATTCCCTGTGCAAGAAGAGGTGCTGAGCTCACCCCTCCTCCTGCCGGTGGGGCCACCTGTGTGTGGCTGGTGGCTGCAGGTTTTCCAAGGATCTGGGTTCTGTGTGTGTGGCTGGTGGCTGCAGGTTTTCCAAGGATCTGGGTTCCGAGTGGGTCTGACACCGTGGGATTCCCTGGAGACTCTTGGAGATGGAGTTCCTGCGTTGGCATCCCCCTCCTCTCCGCTAGAAATGTCCCATAATTTCCTCCACGATTTGCACAAGGTGTTTTTGGCCCCTGTGTTATGGAGATAACCTTGAACACACCTTTATTTCTTGGTGCTAAGACAGCCAAAGCTTTTCTTGCCTACAGCTTAGATTATTTGGAGGGAAAAGAGGCAAAAAAACACAGTAATTTTTTTAAGTGTCAGGGTTCATAGGACCCAGGCAGCAGCTCTGGATTTTGCCACATTAAATACTGCACCAAGCAATTTCCAGGACCTGGGAGAACTGAAATTGTGGACATGACAAAAGTATTTTCTCTTGATAAGACTGAAGTGTGGTTTCATATCCAGTTTATCACTCATTGTTTCCCACTGGTGTTAAGCACACAAGTTCTGTGTAGTCAGAGGAGATCCAGGGTTTGCCTAAATCAGCTCAAAATTGGCATCCAATACCATTAGAGGAAATACATATTTGTGCAGCTTTGTCTATAAATGTATATAAAACTTGCATATTGTATATATTAACTTGCATGTTTGTGGAGAGCTGGACTAAAATGCTGAAACGGGAGTGTTTTGGATCAAGATGTTCCCTTGCAAATCAAGGGAATTTGAGTCTAAAAAAAAAGATTATCCTTGGGCTCATGTTAGAGAGGCAGTTTTGCAACCTGCACAGAATAAAGAAGGCAAAGGCATGATTTTGTGGGATAAAATGTATAACTTACTTCTCTTTTCTAAATGTCTGTCTTTCATTAGTGCACAATGGCATCTGATCACTTACCTGCACAGATAAGCCTCAAACGCACCTTCAAAAATCAACTTTGTTTTAAAATGAGGAGTTCAAAACCTAAAAAAAAAAAATAAAAATAATTTGAAGTCTGATTCTGATGGTTTTGCTCATGTGTAATTAATAAATTAAAGCTGTGGCCAATTCTCACCAGTCAATAGTTTGGTTCTCTTTGCACTGGAATAATTTTTAGGATCCCACTACAAGGCAGGCACCACGTGGTACCAGGTAGTTGCTAATTCTAACGCACAGGAAAACACAAAAGTAGAGGCTTATCAAATCCCCCCGGGGCAGGAACAGTTTATAATTCCTGCTGAGCATTATTCAGCCAACTTGAGTGCACAAGATCGTAGAGTCCCAGAATAATTCAGGTCGGAAGACGAAGATCTGGCCCCGACCATCTCCCCTCAAAACAGGTCAGATTTCAAACTCAGGTGATGCTGCTCAGGAATTTGGTTGCTGTGTTTCAAATAAAAATTGCTCTCAGGAGTCACCCTGCAAACACAGAAGTGCAGCAGGTTGAACATCAGTGTGACATTCCAGTCCACAATATTTCAGCTGAATTCTATTATTTAATGCCTTAAAGGTCACTTAAATGAAGCTTTTTAGGTCATCACAACCAAACTGGAGCAAAACTAAGCGTGAGCCGCTTTTTTTGGTAGTTTTTTTGTGCAGTTTCTTGATCTGAATATTCACAAGCAGCGCTCAGGAGAAGGTATTGCTTCACTGAGCAGACGTGGTCTCTCAATGTTTGCTTTCTCATATATTTTCTCTCCTCCATCTGTTTTTCCTATCTGATCTCCAGCTGATCAAAAATCAGGCCACATCCTTCTCTTTGAGTTTTAAATTAATTAGCTGGAAATTCCTCTTGTAAGAGTATTTTTCCACGCTAATAAAGGCAACAAAACCTGTTCTTGTCGGGTTTTCTGTAACATCTCACCATAGCTAATGTCATAAACCTCACCTATATTAAAGTCTGAGTCTGCTTATAGCCCTTCATTATTTTAAAAATTATTTTTTATAAGCTAAAACCTTATTTAGTCTAAAACCTAATTTCTGTTCATCATATTAATTTGCTTTATCTATTCTACTCTTTGTTATTTCTCTGTACGTACAAAAAAAAAAAAATCCAAAAATGAAATAATGCAAGAAAGAAATCATACTTCTTTCTCATAATATTTTCGTATGCTCTGATGCATTTTGCTGCTTTTTGTCACAAAATAGTTCCTTGCCTGGTAAGCTGCCTATAAGTAAGAATTATTTTCTTTTTCTCCAAGAATTATAGGATAACTAATCAAAGTTAAAGACCAGCTTTGTTTTCCTACTGCTCTGAGACATCAACCTGGGCTCAGAATATCTGATGTGCATAAAAATGTCCTCTTGTTAACATGGACAAGCCATTGGGATGGTTTAAAACCTAATCAATGAGACAATAGACCTGAGATCCCTCCTAATCCCCATCATGGATATTCTGAATCAGTTGATGCCATTAAATGAAAATTACTTGACATTTACTGAGCTGCTTAGAATCTTTATAGAAGCTGGAGAATGGGTTTTCAATGCCATATGTTACCTGAATGAGGCTTTTTCATAACAAAAATCTTTCTGAAATGCAACTGCATTTCATCTGAGTGCCTGTACAAGCAATTCCTTAGATAAGAAAAGTGGGGTGTACCAGCCTCACATTGCAGTGGGAGCCATCAGCCAGGGAATAAAGGTGGTTTAATTGACATTTCTAAACAACTTTTTGGTAAATCTGACTAAAGGTGCAAAACAAAAAGCCCTGGGAGTATGGGAAGGAGGCTGCAATTACTGAAAATACATCATTCAGCAGCTGGGTGGAACATGACATTGCTGAGAAACATATTGTGACTGTAATTAAAATCAAAACTCTGCACTAGTTATAAAAGGAGGGTATAAAAAAAAGCATGGAAGCTTTATTCCCGAGGGTGATGTCTGTGGGATGTTTGAGACAGAGGGGGGAAAGCAGGAAGAGAAAACAACAGAAGGAATGGGCTGGATTTGGGATACTAAAAAGATAAGGGACTAAATATCAGACAAATAATTAGAGCTGCATGAGCATAATTTGTCCAATTTGTGTTCTTTTTAAACTATAGGTGTGTTACCTCCTTACTATTTTTTCTTGTATAAAATTGACTCCTGCTGTGTCCTGGGGCTCTGATTCCATGTGTCCTCATATTCTGCTACAGTTACTTGGCCTGGGACACCACAGAAATATAGGCAGAAATCATGGACCTTTGGCTTGTGTGGATTCTGTCCTACATATCCTGTACACTTAATTCCATCCAAGTATCTAAAACACCCTGTGAATTTGAAAAATAGGTCTGATTTGTACCAGTTTACCACAATCATATTATTTTGACTCCTTTAAAAATAAACTCCTTTATTATCTTCAGTATTTCTACTTAAAAAACCACAAATCTGTCAGTGAATCCTTCTCTATTTCTATGGTATCTTAGTTGTGAATAAGAAAGTAATTTTTTCCAACCTAAGGGGAGTTTCTTTTCCCAGTGACACACAATGAAATCTTCATTCCTATTAATAGTCTCTAAAGAGTTGACAGACCAGCTGTTCCTGTCCTCAGAAATAGTTTTATGCTTTGTATTATTCATTTGTTTTCCTCTGGCTGTTTCAACTCAGTCATTTCTGGTTTGTTTTGTGGGGTTTTTTTCAAGGTAAGTAGAACAACCTTGATTTTTATTCACTAAAATGCAGTTTAAGACTGAGCTTGCTCCCTTTATAAAGGTCAAGAAAAGATCCATGTTTCTCCTAAATACAGGTTGAGCCTAGAAAATAGAATAGAGGTAAACATGAGGGGCCTATTTTTAACAACACAGAAATTTAATATTGCTGTACGCTGGTCTCAGTGTTTAAAAGACAGAATGATAGAATCTTAGAATGGTTTGAGTTGGAAGGGACCTTAAAGATCATCTCATTCCACACCCCTGCCACGGGCAGGGACACCTTCCACTAGCCCAGGTGGCTCCAAGCCCCGTCCAACCTGGCCTTGGACACTTCCAGGGCTGGGGCAGCCACAGCTTCTCTGGGCAACCTGTGCCAGGGCCTCACCACCAAAAGAGCATCTTTTTTTCCAGACTTTTCCCTTTGGTTATCCCAGTTTCTCCACTGACTGCCGAGGGGGCTCATTTCCCACTCCTACAGTAGCACCTGGCTCACCTAATTCTGGACATTAAGAATGTAAATGTGAACTGATTATCCCAGGTTATTTTCACAGTCACAGACACCATTGAATGCAATTTCCCTGACATAGTTTAGGTGCCTACAGAGGATGAGATAATCAATTCCTCAGGGCTCACTCCTCTCCACCATCTCTAAAAGGAGGGTGAGATGATTGCTGGGATGGAGATGTTTGCTTTAGGGGTAATATTCCACACACATCAGGTAATGAATACCACATGCAGGCATTGTCTGGATGGGTAAGTTGGAAAAGTGAGCTCCTGCTGTGGTTAATTGCCAGTTTAAACTAATTAGCCAGGTTACCCTTATAGTTGTGGGAATAACAGGAAAAGTTCCTGCTAGAAACTCATTTATGCTTTGTCATGGCAGGAGGTCCTGAGTCCTAAGCCATGCTATCTCTTTTAAGTGGCTTCTTAGGGAGTTGTGAGGTGGAGTTTGTTAAAGACACAGAGAAATTTAGGTATCAACATGTCTAGATGCAAACTGGATG